AGTCCGGGTTTAAGGGGTTTAGGGTTTAAGGGTTTAGGGTTTAGGGTTTAGGGGTTTAGGGTTTAGGGTTTTCAAGGGTTTAGGGTTTAGGGGTTTAGGGTTTAGGGGTTTAGGGTTTAGGGTTTAGGGGGGTTGTAGAGCTTCGGGTCCCTAAATCCTTGTTGCCCAAAGCCTGACAGCCCTAAATCCTGGACTTTAAAACACTGAAGCCTTACGCGTCCTAAAGTTTAACCCTAAACCCTAATACCTAATACTAAACCCTAAACCCTGTACCCTAAACCCTAATACTAAACCCTAAACCCTAGCCTAGACCGAAGGCTTGGACTTAATTACAAACAGAAATCGAGACGCCGTCGCTTTGTTGGGGGATGCTTGAGGCCACTCTGTGGTGTAAACGGGTCATTCGCAAGAGGTTTAAGGCTGTAGACAGCTGCTTAGGGACTAGGATTAGGGGCTTAGGTTTCAAGGCCCTTTTCACAAGGAAAGAGCATGAGTTTCTCCGGAATATCTCAAGGGATGTGACTACCAAGGCGCCTGAAAAATGGAACAGAATTTCTTAGGCTTCATTCTTATACATTGTTGTGCAACATACCTCGAAACCCTACCCCAAGTATGAAGGCCCCAAACGCGAAGCCCACACCTCAGGGTCATTTGATGCGGGTTCTTCACCATACCCTAAACCAAAATTCCTAAACCCTGAACCTCATACACTAAGCCCTGGTTCCAGCAGGTTCATGTACCTCCTTTCTTTAACGGCCTTATATACTAAACCCTAAACCCTAAACCCCTAAACTCTAAACCCTAAACCCGACACCCTGCCCGAGGATGCAACAGCTGAGGTGAGAACCTACTCTTTTGTAAGGCTTGGGGCTAAACCCTAAACCCCTAAGCCCTAAAACCTAAAACCTAAACCGTTAACGGTTTAGGGTATGGGGGCTTTAGGGTTTAGGGTTCAGGGAGCCTAAACCCCTAAACCCACAAACCTAAACCCTGATCCCCAAAGAAAAGGCCTTGAGTCAGCACGCAAAAAGTCAACCCTAGTGACTTCAAGAGAACACTCCCGGATGCAGACGCGAACTCTCGTAGCTAAACCCTCCCAGGGTCCTGGGGTTTAGAGTTCTACGGTTGATGATAGAAATCCTTAGCATTACCTTAAGATATTGAGAACGATTTAGGGTTTAGAAGTTTAGGGTTTAGGGTTTTAGGGATATTATATGATGATATATGATATAAATCCTTAGCATTACCTTAAGGAACCTAAACTATGGGAATTATGGGATATTCTTTATTATGGGTAATGCAGGATTTATATCATCAACCGGCGGGTTCTAGGGTGTAGGGTTCTCTAGGGTTTAGGGTTTAGGCTTCTCTGGAGGTTTAGGGTTGAATGTGCGATAAGGCTCCTGGTTGCGTTTTTTTGGTGTTTTCTTTTACTGGGCCATGGATCTCATGTAAATGCAAGGACATGTGCAGGTGGGTAGTTACCGTTATAGGAGCCTTATAGAAGGTCTATATACCTTATGGAAGCCTTATAGAAGCCCTATATACCCTAAACTCCCCACCTGTAGTTTCCTTTAACAAATGCTTGATTTGTGCTGCCTTCTAGGGGCAACGGAATCTACGTTACACCCCGCCTGTGGATCCGAAAACCTTGTGTGCGAAAAGGCAGACCCTGAAACTAACATGGCATGCCCTAGTACTGTTGATGATATACAGCCTGCACTACCATAATATCAGGACCCTAAACTATGGGAATTATGGTACGCTCCTTATAATTGTGGTTAATGCAGGATGTATATCATCAACTGAAGGCTTGGTTTGGCGGGACCAGCAGACCTGAACCCCTCAACCCTTTTCCCTAAACTCTACCATGGGTTTAGGGTTCAGGGCATTCTCAACCGTTCGGCTCGTCCGCATCTCGCATGGAGGGGGCTGTTCCAATTTAGAGCCGTGCCCACAAAGACGTAGCAAGCAGGGGAGCAACAGGCACTACAATTTCTTATAGATACCCTATAGACCCTAAACCCTAAACCCTCTCCGAACTCCAGACAGCGCCCTAAACCCTAAACCCTCTACGAACTCCAGACAGCGCCCTAAATCCTTTAAACCGCAAGACGTCAGACCCTAACCCCCCGTAACCGTTGTGCTAAGTCCCTCAAGCCTTCCACCTCCAAGGCCCCCAAACCCCGAAACCCTCAACCCAGTACGCAAAACATGGGTTCAGGGTTTAGGGTTTAGGGTTTAGGGTGAAACCCGCAAACATTTAAATTTACGCAAAACATGGGCCAAAGTCGCCCCAGTGTTTGCAGCTGTCACTGCTGCCACACGAAATCCGCGCTGGAGCCGATAGGTCTGGGCTGGGACCGGGGGATCCCATCATGATGTTTTCTTAGGGTTTAGGGGTGGTAGGGTTTTTGGGGGGTTAGGGTTTTAGGTTAGTGATTAGTAGTACGGTTGATGATATAAATCTTGCATCACCCATAATAAGGAACATACCATAACTCCCATAGTTTTGGGTCCTTAAGAGAATGCTAAGGATTTCTATCATCAACAGTACTATGTAGACCCCTGGTTTCATTTACCCTGCTTCTTTACCCAGAACGCCCGGGAGGATCCACAAAAGTAGATCCCTGAAGGGGGTTCCTAAAGTACCCTTTAGTAGTTCGGGTCCCAAGTTAGGGGGATCTACTTTTTAGATCCTCCCGGGGGGTCTGGGCAGTAAGGAAGAAACAGTACTTGCAAAAATATCCCCAGTACGGTAACTTAAACCTAAACCCTAAACCCTTAGTTGACTCGTTATAGACCCCTGAAAGGAACCCTTTATGAAGTCTGAGTAAGGGGCGCGTAATCGCTGGGGCCTAGGTTTTCCTAGCATTGAAGAGCTTTGTTGCAGTAGTTGGGTAGTTCTCTAAATTAGGGTCCCTTCTAGAGTCCCTTGTTATACAAGTGCCGTACTATGTTGGGGACCTACAAAAGGACCATAGTTTAGAGAACTACCCAGTTCTTGTTTCGGTAACTATGTCTTTAGCTACAGGATCCAACCCTAGCAGTGCTTCACCGAAGAAGGGGCCTATAATGAGACAATATGTCGATGGGTTGGGGTTCATATCGAAGGATGCTGAAGGCGCCGGATATCTCGAAGATCTAGAGGTCAGCGTGCTAAACCCCAAAGCCGAAACTCTGAACTGCAAAACCCCAAACCCCAAACTGCAAAACTCGTTTTCCACCTGGCCATCATGGCTGTCTCTAGTTCTATCTAAAGTTTTGAAGGTTCAGGGACATGGCAAGTAGGTCTCTAACAGGGGGAGAACTTCAGTTCATAGTGCTTCTCAACCAGCCAAGGCACTAAAATCACGAAAAAGCCTTACTTACCAAGTCTCCCGATCCTTCAAAGCACCGAAACCCGCATTCTTGCAGGCAGAATTCTGCAAATCTCAGAACGAACCTTGATGGAGCCCTAGTAGCAACCCCAAAAGCACTGCGTATGATGCCCTGGACCTCCATAGCCTCGGCATGCCAGACCCCCCGGGAGGATCTAAAAAGTAGATCCCCAAATTTGGGACCGTAACTACTACAGGGTTTAGGGTTTAGGGAACTACTAGAGGGTTTAGTTTAGGGTTTAGGGTTTGGGACCCTAACTACTAAAGGGTTAGGGTTTGGGCCCCCTAACCACTCAAGGGTACTTTATACGAACCCCTTATAAGGGATTTACTTTTTGGATCCTCCCGGGGGTCTGGGCATGTTGCGCGTCCGGATGGCTTCGGGCTGCGAAGTGTTCACGATGCCTATGGAGGAGCTGAGGGAGATGCTTGGAGGTTCATGGGGGAGTTAGAAGTAGGGTTATAAGCAGGTTCCTTTAGAGGGGTTCTAAGAGGGTTCAGGGTTCATGGGTAGATATTATGTAAGTAGGGATTGTAAGTAATCTAACTATAGTTATAACCTATACTCGGGGACTTACAACTTCTTTTTCTACCCATGAAACTTCAAGTTGGTACAGGTGAACCTGTCAAGGCTCTGAAGCAGCAGCTGCAACAGGCTTCTTGGGAGCTTCCTAAAATTTTTGTGTGGTTTCCTGGCAAGTTTCGTGTTAAAGGAGCCCACCACCAAGGGATGCTTTTCCTGTCCTTCCTAACAGTGACCCAGGTCTGTGGAGAACCCAGATTTAAGCAGCGATTGCTGTTGGAGGATGGCCGACCTTTGGATGACGCCGCATCTCTCCAAGAGCCCATGGAGCTGCAGTTGCTGGGCTCTTGTTAGGGGATTTAATTTAAATTACCATAATAAGAACTTAAGGAAACCATATTATTTACTATATAGATCTCTATTATGACAACTTAAAGTAAATCCTTTAACAAGAACCCAGGTTGGTAGTCTTGTGCGGCTTCTCTGGCACGTCCCAGGCTCAGGTAAATGAGCTCGTCGAGGAGGCTCATCAAAATCGTATTCTTGAAGTAGAGCAGCTTCTACATAGGCCGCAAGATCCTGACCTTGCTACAGTTACTGGCTGGACTCCTCTCCTCACTTCTTCGGTTCAAGGGCATTTGGAAGTCGCGCGACTTCTGCTGGAGGCCCGGGCAGCTGTGGACAAGAGCCTGCCAAACGGTGCAAGCCCGCTGCTGGCTGCATCTGAGAATGGTCATGTGGCAATGGCGCAACTTCTTTTAACATCTTGTTCGAAGATCGACGGAGCAATGCGCAACGGTGAGACTCCACTGTACATGGCATCCCAGAACGGACACCTGGAAGTTGCACGCCTGCTGTTGTGTTCCAGGGCAGACATATCCAGGACTCGCATGGATGGGTCGACGCCTCTGCAAGCGGCAACCGAATCGGCCCGTATTGGTATTGCGCGCTTATTGCTGGATTCCCGGGCCGACATCGACTTGGCAGATGTGATTGGGTGCACTCCTCTGATCAAGGCAGTGATTGAAGGTCATGCCGACGTTGCAGAGTTCCCAAGAGGAAAAGAGTGGGTAACCTTTAACATGTTTGGGCTACTGTAATCCCGAAATCTAATCCCAAAGGTTAACCTTTCGCTCCCCTTGGATTGAACCCTAACACCTACTTGGAGGTTCATGGGTAGTTCTAAGTGGAGTTGTAAGTCCCCTAATATAGGGTTATAAGTATATTTACCCTACTTATACCCGTACTTGTAACTACCCATGAACCTCCCAGCAGAAGCGCCTAACCCACTTTTCACTACCCACGTAAGGTTCTTGCTCGCGGCCCGGGCGGCCGTGGACAAGAGCCTTCCAAACGGCGCCAGCCCTCTGCCCCTGGGATTTAGGGTTTAGGGTTTAGGGTTTTAGGGTTTAGGGTTTAAGGTTTAGGGTTTTAGGGTTTAGGGTTAGGGGTTTAGGGTTGCTGTCAAGGAACTTGATGTAGGATTTTGATTAAGAAACCCTGGTCTTTTTTTGACCCAAATACTTCAAAGGAACCCCCTTCAGGGATCTGCTTTTTGGATCCTCCCGGGGGTCTGGGTATACTAACTTAATTTCAGTTCCTTAACAGCAACCCAGGCTCGCGGCATCTGAGAGCGGCCATGTGGCAATTGCTCGGGAGCTGCTGCAGCTTTGTGCTGACGTTGACAAGGCTCTTCTGACTGGTGAGACCCCCTTGTTTATGGCATCGCAGAATGGACATGTGGAAGTTGCGCACCTGCTGCTGGAGGTGAAGGCAGACTTTAGCATATCTCGCACAGATGGTATCACACCTCTGCGGGTCGCGAGGCAACGTGGTCACTTGGACATAGTGGCGCTGTTGGAGTCCTCTTCCAAAAATGCGTTGCTGTCACCAAGGTGATAATTGTGACTCTTTCTGTTTCGAATCATTACTAGCAGAGCCTTTACTCATGTTATGATGGTATCGGTGACGATGCTCGTTATTTTTACCCTGGTACGTAGTCCTTGTAAGATACGTCGAGGCGGCAAGACGTGGCACGCCAACAACAAATGTCCTCCGCCAGTAGCAGTCTAGCAGCAGCAGCACGAGCAGGAGCAGTAGTAGTGGTGGTGGTAGTGGTAGTAGTAGTAGTAGTAGTAGTAGTTGGAGGAGCAGTAGCAGTAGCAGTAGCGGGGGTCGCAGTCGCAGTCGCAGTATAGGAGCAGGAGTAGTAGTAGTAGGAGGAGGAGGAGGAGGAGTAGCTGTAGTAGTAACAGCAGTGGTAGTAGTGGAAGTAGCGGTAGTAGTGGAAGTAGTGGTAGTATTACTCGTAGTGGCAGCAGTAGCAGTCGCAAATGCAGTACTGGCAAGTAGAGCTAGTAGGTAGCAGTGGTAGCAGTAGCACCAGCAGCAGGCGGAGGAGGAGTGGAGGTAGTGACCAGGTAGTGGTAGTGGCAAGGGTAGCGGCAGTCGCAGTAGGTAACATTTCTCATTGATATCGGGGAGTTGTACAAGAAATCATGCTTAGTACCAATGTCAGCAAGTGTTGTTCTGATGGCTGCTACGTTACTCGATCTTGCTGCTAATATAGGGGCCTTAATAATTCGAATAGGGTTTGGGGTATACTAGGCCCCTGCATTAGTCGTGGGCATCGTGGTAATGGCAAAACACGATGACCAAGAACTCCTGTGTCTACGAACCCATGGCCAGTGCGACCCCCGATTCTTTTCTTAACACTTATCCTGCAAAACCTGGTAAGAAAACTGCCAAAGATAGCCACCTGGTACTTACCCAGAGGCTCCTTAGTAGTTCCTTTTCGTGGTTTGTATTTAGGATCCTATAAAGTAATCCCAAAAAGGAGCTACCAAGGAGCCTACGGGTAATTGTTCTTCGTCCAAGCACTGTTAAGTGCGATCCCTGTACATCCACGAAGCCCTTAACCCCAATTCTGCGTTTACTTGGAGGTTCATGGGTAGTTATAAGTCGGGCTTATAAGTAGGGTAACTCTCTATATATATATATATATATAGTTATAACCTATATTAGGGGACTTGTAATTCTACTTACAACTATCCACGAACCTCCAAGTAGAGCCATTATTCATACCCCGTGAGCAATGAAGTGGCCTTCACAACTCGAGGGTTTTGGGGTACATCATGGTATACAACAGATCAGATCTGCAGTAAGCCCTTTCTAGTCCCATATACTTGTGCATACAACCAAAAGGCCAGTCAAAACATGAAGCCCCTACACTACAACCCTAAGTCCTAAACCCGAAACCCTAAAGCCCTAAACCCTAAACCCGAAGCCCTAAACCCCAAACCCAAAGCCCTAAACCCTCTTGCAGCAAAAGCATGGGGTTTGGTGTCTGAAGGGTGATTGCTGTAAGGGCAACGACGTAGAAGTTACCCAGAGGCTCCAATATCCCTTAACTAAGGCATATACCTTAAGTTATAGTAGGATCCCTAATATGATTTAAGGTATAGTCCTGAATTAAAGGATATCGGAGTCTCTGGTACGGGGATTTTCGGGATTTAGTGGCAATTAGGCTTTTGGGGGATCTTAGGCTTCAGGGCCACAGAGGGTCTGGGGACGTTAGAGGTTTCGGTGCGGTCAGGGTTTTAGGGGTTTAGGGGTTTAGGGTTTTAGGGTTTAGGGTTTAGGGGTTTAAGGTTTAGGGTTTAGGGGTTTAGGGTTTAGGGTCTAGGGTTTGGGGCAAAGGGGGTTGGTTGAGGGGAGAAGGGTTCAGGGTCGCAGCGTTGTAATGTAAGCATACTAATAATTCAAGAAAACACGGCTTTGGGTGGATTCGGGTCCAGGGTTTAGGGTTTAGGGTTTATGGCGCAGAGAAACAGGTGTTTAGTGTCTTCCCCTAAACCCGAAGCTTAAACCCCAAACCGTGTCTTCTTGGTTTCTGCAGGTGCGCACAACGGAGATGAAGTCTCGCTTATGTCCATCAACAAAGTCAAGCAGGCCGTCAAAAGACTACCGACTGGTTCTTAGTAGGGAACGGAGGAATGGGTTTTTGGGACTACTTGGAGGTTCATGGGTAGTTATAAGTAGGGTTATAAGTAGGGTAACTATAGGTATAACCTATATTAGGGGACTTATAACTCCACTTATAACTAGCCATGAACCTCTAAGTACTATAGGGGATCTTAAGGGGCTATCATAGGGATCAGGGATCCATTCCCCCATTCCCTACTAAGAACCAGGGAGACTCGTGGGGTTCGGCTTTTTCGCAAGATCGAACAACACACCTGCTAGGGTTTAGGGTTTAGGGCGTCCCAAACCTTGAACCCCTAAACCCTAAACCCTCCCAAACCCTTAAACCCCGGAACGCCTTAACATACAACTCGAAAAGCCACTTGAAGCCCAAAGCCCTGAAACCTCATAGCCCTAAACCCTATAAATAAAATTCTAAACCCCTTTAAACCCCCTTAAAACCCCGGAAACCTCCCCGGCGAAAAATCTTCGAAACGCAGGCCCCTGAGGATGCGAAAATCTTCCCCGAGCTACCAGCCTCTTGGCTTATGTAATCGATGTAATATTAGGGTTTAGGGTTTAGGGGTGTAGGGCTTAGGGTAATATAGAGGCTTGAGTAGTTACCTATACTATTTTGGGGGTTCCTTCTTACAGTTATAGTAGAATCTACCCCCAAAACCCTATTGCAATAGTTATTAAGACCTATATTACTGGGAGGGAGCTTGGGTTTACCTAGGGTATCATACATTATTGACATTGTCAGCCCCTTAAACCCTAAAACTGAAACCCTAAAGCCCTAAACCCTAAAACCCCAAACCCACACCCTAAAACCCCAAGACCCCAAACCCAAAACCCCAAACCCTAAACCCTAAACCCCAAGACCCCACACCTAAAACCCCAAACCCCAAACCTAAAACCCCCCAAACCCTAAACCCTAAAGCCCTAAACCCTAAACCTAAAACCCCCCAAACCCTAAACCCTAAACCCTAAAGCCCTAAAGCCCTAAAGCCCTAAAACCCCAAACCCTGAACCCCTAAAGCCCTAACCCTAGAAACCCTACGAGCCGCAGTCCAAGGAGTGGCTTCATCAGATTGCACCCACGGCCGAGGGCGAGGAGGTGTTGACCTTCTCTTGGGTCTCTTTTTTTGGGCTTAGGGTTTAGGGCTTTTGGGGTTTTGGGCTTTTAGGGTTTCGGGCTTTTAGGGTCTAGGGCTTTTGGGGTTTTGGGCTTTTAGGGTTTCGGGCTTTTAGGGTTTAGGGCTTTGGGTTTAGGGTTTAGGGCTTAGGGTTTAGGGCCTTTAGGGCTTTGGGTTTGGGGTTTAGGGTTTCGGGCTTAGGGTTTGGGGGCTTCCGTTCCTTGGGTACAGTCCTAAGTAGGTTTTGGGGTTTCGGGCTTAGGGTTTAGGGTTCTTAGGGAAACCTTACTTTGAGGTTCATGGGTAGTTCAAGACGGCTTACAAGTGGGATGCCATGAGCATGATTACTGATTGGATCCATACAAACCATGTAGTTTAAATTGGCTTTTATCTTGGCTCTCTCGATTGATTCAGCCAATAGAGGCTATATTGATTCTAAGCGCTTAATATATTGATCTGGATTTATAGTATTCCTCTGGATCGTATATATTGATTTACAATGATGTCCATATTGAGAAGTAGCCCGCTGTTCAGCCCCTTGTATGATTCCGACATAATGAAGCGCCTAAATCTTATGACACCCTTAACGTTAGAGGTCGCTCTAAGGATGTCATATGAGTTTGGGTAGAGGGGCTGGTTTGACTAGCTGGGTAGCCGTTATGGGTTTCATATAAAGGTTTCGAGGGTTTGGGGTGGGTTTTGCATGGTTTTCCTGGAACATTTTCAGGTGGGTAGTTACCGTTATAGGAGCCTTATAGAAGGTCTATATCCCTTATAGAGACCTTATAGAAGCCCTATATACCCTAAACTCCCCACTTGTAGTTTCCTTTAAGGTTTGGATGGATTTTGAGTGGGTGTGGGTGGGCTCGAGCCCATCCAGGCAGCGGCAGCCTACACCTGGACGGTCGCACGCCGGGTGATGAACAGGCTCGCGCACCTGATGACCGGCAACATCAGTGCTTGGACTGGGTTGGCGGCAGTCCTCACCGCGCCTGTTCTGCTGTCAGTGCAGCGAGTTTCCGTCGGGGTCGTGGAGGAGACCTTGGCAGCCGTGGCGCACCAGTCAGCAGAGCTGGTCGGAGAGGCAGGCGCGGAAGCCGCGCGGGCCGTCCAGGTAATTGTTAAGGCCCCCATATAACCGGTGCCGGCGGACGACAGTTGATTTTGGCACCGCTTGGTGGAACCGGGCTATATTGGGGACCTAAAAAGGGACCCTAGGTTAGAGAACTACCCACATACAATTATGGTGTAAGATGCTAAGCTGATCAGAAATTTCCAATCGACAACCACCTATACCCTAAACCCTACCGAGAAGAGGGACCTTGCAGTGAAGCTGCAAGGCCTCGCGACACCAAGCCAAACCCTAAACCCCCTAAACACTTATACCCCTTAAACCCCAGCAAACGCTTGCAAGTCAACATGTGCGACACATCGGTTAGGGCTGCGAAACAGCAGAACTTGTTCTCGTCAGTTTCGAGTCTTGGGCATCGTCGTCAATTTCAAGGCGTCGATTTTCGGATTTGGGTTAAGTAGTTTTGGGGTTATATAGCAGCAGCAGGAGCAGAAGCAGTAGCAGAGTAGCAGTGGTCTTCGTCGTCGTCGTGAACTTGTAATTAGTAGCGCTGAGCTTACTCTCTCGCCCTAAACACACACCCCCCTGCCCTAAAGCTCTAAGCTTCTGCCCCGAAAGTCCGCTCAGCCCATCAACCTCCCGCTAGCATCACCCGAGTCAGACGCGAATGACTCTCTACCCTGTTATCAAGAAACGCTGCTTCGGCATATGGGGGTTTCCGAAAATAG